CTCTGACAGTCATGAGCCCTCTTGTTACACTAACGCTATCCAATGTGAACACTGGCAGCAGGCCATGGCTGATGAACTTATAACCTTGGCTCAGAACCATACATGGGATCTTGTTCCTCGTCCTTCACACAGAAAGCCTATTGGCTATAAATAGGTTTACAAGATCAAACATTGAACAGATTGTTCCATTAAACGATGCAAAGCTGACCTTGTGGCCAAGGGCTTCACTCAACAGGAAGGCTTTGACTATCAAGACACTTTTTCTCCCGTTGCCAAACATGTCACCGTTCAGGCCTTCCTTTCCATTACTGCTATTCGAGATTGGTCTCTTCGCTAAATGTATGTCCACAATGTCTTTCTTCATGGTGATTTACATGAAGAAATTTATATAGATCTACCTTCAGGACTTCGCCGACAGGGGGAGAATATTATATGTCGTCTGCGAAAGTACCTCTATGGTCTGAAACAAGCATCTCAACAATGGAACACAAAATTCACAAAAGCTTTTATTGGCATAGGGTTCATCCAAACATGACTATGCACTATTCTCTTGGAAAAGAGGTAACTCATTTATCGCCCTTATTATCTATGTGGATGACATCCTAATCACAGGAAATGATGATGTGGCAATCAAGGCTCTAAAAGAGCGTTTACATAGACATTTCCGCATAAAAGATTTGGGGGAGCCAAAGTATTTCTTGGGAATTGAGATTGCAAAATCAGCGGCAGGGATATCCCTTAGTCAACAAAAATACATACTTGAGATTGTATCGGACTCAGGATTATTTGCATGCAAAGCAAGTATCATACCCGTTAAGCAGAATACCAAGCTTACCACAAAGCAATATGACAATGCAACTTTAGCCTCAAACAATGATCCACTGCTAAAAGATTCCTCAATTTATTAAAGACTTGTGGGATGATTAATCTATCTCACCATGACGCATCCATACATCAGCTATGCTGTCCACATCCTTAGTCAATTCATGCATGGACCAAAGCAATCTCATATGGATGCTGCAATAAAGGTACTTAAATATTTAAAGGGTGCCCTGACTTAAGACTTCTTTTACCTCATAATGGAAATCTGAATATGGCAGCATATTGTGACTCCGATTGGGTTACATGTCCAATGACGAGAAAATCTCTTACTGGTTTTTGTATAAACCTTGGTGGATCTCTGATCTCCTAGAAAACGAAAAAATAAACAACAGTATCCATTTCCTCCGCAGAAGCAAAATATAGAACTATGGCAAAAGTCACGTGTGAAATCATCTGGATTCTCGGGTTATTAAAGAATTTAGGAGCTGAAGTGGAAAAACCAGTCGTCTTGTACTGTGACAATAAGGCCGCAAACAACATTGCAGCAAATCCCGTTTTTCATGAAATGACAAAGCACATATTGTAATTGACTGTCACTTCGTCAGAGATAAAATTTAGGAAGGGGTAATCAAGACCATGCATATTGGCACCTCAGAACAACCAATGGATATCTTTACAAAACCATTATGTAGTTGACAACATTTGTATTTGGTTGGCAAGCTCGATGTTTTTGGCATCTACAAACCACCACTCAAGGGGGAGTGATGTAATTTGTAAAGCAAATATTACGAATGTACAAAATGACAAGCTGGGATTAAGGTTTGATATTTTAAATCATTCTCTATTAATAAGCTGATTACATGTAATTTTACCATTAAGGTGTAATATTGTATTATCTAGTTTATACTCTAAAACATTATATGAATAGGACTATGTATAATTATACAAACGCAATGAAATACATAGGGATTACAATTGTAATTCCCATCTCTTCTTCTCGGCATTCTCTTGGCAAGTTAATTGCTACTCTTGCCTCTCTCTTATTAGCTTCTGACATACACACAACTTATTATAATTCTATTTTTATTTTTTAAAATAAATCTTCCACATAAATCATGACGGCTTATGAATCGTTGTATTAGATAATTATATATGTCTCTGTGTGTGTCTGACCGCCATTTCTCATATGATATGAGTCATGTCTGATTGCAGAAGAAAGAGAACTTCCTTCAAGAGTTCCTAATTAAAACCTTGTTGATTATTTACCACTACTTTTTCTCCTGGCGGTGCCACTCTGGGTCTGCGGTTAATTTTCTGTACGAATGAAAGAGCATTCAATCATATCATACTGCACCCTGCCATCTTGAATAAAGAGAAAGAAAAGAGAAAATTGATAACCCAAATTACTTAAAATTAGATTATAGCAACACCAATTTGGAAAGAAATAATAACGGAGTGTTTTTAAAGATTCTCCTATCTCTGTGTTAAAATATATTGTCAGGTTAGTTGGAGCATAATAACTTGTTTCCTTTTTTGCAGGGAGCCAGAACTTTCAAGGATTTTAAGAAATTCAAAAAATAAAAATAAAAATTGTAAAACCTTTACCAAGTCATGTGATGTAATTGAAGGATACAGAGATTTATGCTATTGACCCCAAGAAACATGTCTACTTTTCTACCTTAATTATAAGCATAATCCTGAATATGGAAAAGTTTTTTGTATTCCCAAAATCAAACTCATTTCCCAGAATCCATACAATGAATTTGCGTTTGGTTGCATTTTTTCTATGATTTCTCCTCTCGCATAGGATTAGTTAACAGAAGCAGTTCGATGACTGACACAAAAATTTTCCCGAGAAACACTCGTGGGAAAACTCTTTTCCAGTAATTAGGAATTTTAGAACACCATGGCTTTCCAAAGGTTGAAATTTCCAAGGTAAAGTTGAAGAGTGCGAGTTGGAGAAAATTTTAGACTAGTTTAGTCGTTTGTTTCACCTCCCCACAAGATCTCTCTCAACTTTTCCCGTATATAATTTTTGCATAAAAATAGCAACTAAATAATTAATTTATCCACTAATAGGTGTATTTTTTTTATTTTTTATTTTTGATATCTTGGATTGTTTATGTTAGTTTAAGTGTATCTTAATTAATTTCTCAAAACCTGAAGATAAGGGTCAAGTAAACCTCCTATGATTATCTCTTATTAATAATCATAAGATTCAAACTCAAAACTTCTTAAATAATATATATCTCAAACGAATGGTCATACTACCTAGATCTATCATATTACCTAGAGGTAGTTTAATTTAATAGGTGTATCAATGGCTGGTATTACTTCATATTATCCAACTAACATTAACCTTGTTTTTCACTCTTCCATGTCAAGGTAAACCGACCAATACCCCATTAACATCAAAAGTGTTATAAAAGAAAATTTAAGTCAAAATTGTTATTACCACTACTAATTCTGCCAATAGATGTGTGTCCCACTCATCCACTAAACTGAATCAACTAAAAAACGACCCTGTAATTTTCTTTTCTTGACTATCGCACAACCAATTTAATTGCTCTATGGAAACTTTCAGTCAATATCTCTTCAAGTTCATTTCATAAAACTAAGTCTGACCCACTAATTATTCAAACAGTGAGAATTGAGATTGATGACCTATTGACCTTCCACCTACAAAAACAGAGAATATTTGAAAAAATGATTGATTATAATAATCAAAGCATCCTAGAATGAAAGACAGAATAACATAAAATGGTAGCAGACCTTATATGATTGTTATTTTATACATCATACATAAGCAGCTTTCTTGTAAATAAGACTTTTTTTTTTTTTTAATAAGAGAAACTTTGTTAATTTTTAAATATAAAAAATAAAATTTTAAAAGAGAGTATATATTTTTTTAAAAAAAAACTTAATAAGAAAGATAAATCATAAATAAAATACATAAAAATTTATAATTATTATTGATAAACGACATATTCCCACCCAAGGTTTGACGAAATCCAAGTTAGTACCACTGGTTTCATTTATTCCAGATTCCCACCCTTAAAGTAACAGTGTTATGAATTTTTAGGGTTTAGGGTACCAATTACCATAATACCCTTAACCCTAAATTAATTAAATTATATTTTAACCCCTAAAAGTAGAATTACAAAACTTACCATTTTATTTTTAATTATATCAAAAACACCCTCGGTCACTATACACTCTCACCGTTTCCGATGACGTCGAACCCCCTGGTCACCTCCATCACCTTCCCCGTAGTCCGTCGTCCAAAACCCCTCTGGTTCCCGACTCATTTGCCCCTCCAATCGCCGGCACCGTTAGGCTTAGGGTTTCGGTGTTCTTCATCGGATTCCGGTCGATTCCGGCTGTGAAAATCCAATTGGACACCACCAATGCAACACCGTCCCCAAATCTATAAAACCCCTATGTCTCCAACAACCGTTTCGTCGTCATTCGCCGGCCGAGAGTTCGTGTTCATCGGTCGTTTTTCGTTGCCGTGGTCGGAGATCGGCGAGTGATGAGGGGTTGTGAATGGTATGGTTTTGTAGAGGGGAGGATGGGGGTTCAAATGGTGGTGACTAGGGTGATTTTGGGTGGAAGAATCGCCGGAAAAGAGCGAAAAACGTCGGGAACGACGGTTGCTAACGTGCGCCGGAGGAGTGTTAGAGGCGGTGGTCTGCTAACGTGCGCCGTCCATGTAAAATAACCAATTTACCCCTTTACCGTTACATCAAACGTTTTTCCGTCACTTTAAGGGTGGGAATCTGGAATAAATGAAACCAGTGGTACTAACTTGGGATTTCGTCAAACCTTGGGTGGGAACATGTTGTTTACTCTTTATTATTTAAAATTAAGATAAAGAGTAAAATTTAACTCTTTAAATATGAAAAGTCAAATTCATTCTTTAATTTATATTTAAAAAATAAAAAATATTAAATTATTTTTTAATTTATATTTTAAGAATAATTAAACTCTTATATTTTTTATAAGAAAGAGTTTAAATTATATAAAAGTTAAATTTATTCTTTAATTTATATTTAAAAAATAAAAGATATTAAATTATTTTTTAATTTATATTTAAAGAATAATTAAATACTTATATTCTTTATAAGAAAGAGTTTAAATTATACAGAGTTTAAAGTTTAAATTATATAAAGAGTAAATTATGCTTGACAGCTTCAAATAAAGAAGTATGAGTCCCACACAAATCTACAGTTTATCTGCAGATTGTACTTTATAGCAGAAAAAACTACACAGTACAAAAGGGCACATGGAGATAGATATAGATGGATCACCTCAATTTTTTCTTCTCTCAATTTTGCCCTTGACTTCCCCAAACTTTTACATGACAGAACAAGCATTGGGGTTCTCATCACTGAAGATCTGAGGAGGGTATGCATACAATTCCATGGCATACCTTGGTGGGTAATAGTAATATTCATTTTTCTTGAGCTCCACCACTTTTGTCTCTTCAGTTACCTCTCCTGCTTTACCTTCTTCACTGTCACCTTCTTTTTTCTCTTTGTTTTCTTCTTCACCACTTTTCTTTTCTTTCTCACCATCACCATCACCACCGCCACCTTCTTCTTTCTTCTCTTCTTTAGCTTCCGGGGCTTTCTCTTCTTTCTTCTCTGGCTCTTGTTTCACAATCACCGCATGCTTCCCAGTTCTCTTGTACACGTACTCAACCAGCTTTGGAGGATCAAAAACACCCTTCACCGAAACCTCTGAGGCCTTTAGATCTGGTTCCGCTGCTTCCACCCCTGGAAGTTCCAATCTTGTTTAAAATCAAATTTTATATATAGGATAGGATAGGTTTCATTGGAAATAATTCTGATTTGGGGTTGGTGGGATTTGATTTTTAACTAATGAAGTTGAGTTAAAAGAAGTATATTGACTTTAACTGGACCAGTTATCATTGAATAATTTAATAAAGTTTTTGATTTTGAAAGATTGATGTGAGGATAAACTCTTTCCTTTCTTTTATTTTTTAAGAGATTCGAAAGGTAAAACATTTTTTTGGTCACAAATTACAACTTAAGTAACAGGTGGCTAAAAAACATGAATATCAGAATCGCATGAACAGAAAAAAATAAAGACCACCAAAAAGCATGACTCTTCAATCTAACAAAAAATAAAAATAAAATCAATGAATCTACCTTTCATTCTCAGTATGCGTTTTTTGATCTCCTGAGCACAAGCCTCGCAATGCATGTGAACTTTTAACACCACCGTGATCACTTGCGGCTACAGAAACAAAAGAAATAACTCTTAAATCCCACTAATGATGAATGAAATGAAGGTATTGACATATTTAAATATGAATAAAAACCTCTTCTTTCTTCTCTTCAGGCTCTGGCTTCTCTTTCTCTTCAGGCTTCTTCTCCTCCTCTGCTGGTGGTTTGGGGATCGGAGACAGAAGCTCCACCTGCCTGTGACTCTTCCTTTGAACTCTCTCCAAAACCTTGAGTGGATCAGCCTTTTCTCCTTTCACAACCACCTTATGGCTCTTGCAATCAGTCATTATATCTTCGACTCCTGTAAACACAAATACGTATATTCAATCACTCACTCAAAAAAGACAGAACATAACAGAAACGATGTCAAGTTATTATTTATTTATTCACCGTCAAAGCCTTTAAGACAGCGGCGAATTTTGCGAGCACAACCCTCACAATGCATGTAAACTTTCAAGACGATTTCTTGTGGTGGAGGAGGAGCTTGTTCTTCTTTACCCTCCTTTGATTCTTCAGCTGCTGGTTGCTTCTCTTCTTTCTTTTCGTCAGCTGGAGCTTTCTCTTCTTCTTTCTTTTCCTTCTTTTCTTCTACAGCTTTCTTCTCTTCTTCAGGTTTCTTCTCCTCCATTTTTTTCTCCTCTGCCGGTGGTTTCTTCTCTTCCTAAAGAAAGCAAAACACAAATACCAAACAAGAGATTAAGACAAACAATAAAGAAATGGTTATAAAATAAATGGAAACTTAAGATTATGAGACTTCCAAGACCTCCCCCATTAGTTTAGTATGAGTTCAAAGTACAGGGACTCTGTTGAGGAAATAAGCTCTGGTTTGAAGCGCTCGCTGCTTTGAGTCTGGTGTTTTCTCTCTCTCTCTCTCTCTCTCTCTCTCTTTGTAACTTGGAGTTTCTACCTCAGTGGGCTCTGGACCATCAGATCTGAAGCCGAGAAGCTAACTCGTCGATTTTTATCTTCATCAATAACATGCTAAACATGACGTGGCTTTTTATAAGGGGGACGTGGATTCAACGAAGGATGTGTTGGAGACAAATGGTGCCAGGAGCTTACATGCTCTTTTCTAATAGCCGCTTGTTTTGGGGGCATTATGTAATTCTACCTATTCTCATTTTTACTGTTTTTGCGTACCAGTAACAGTGTAGATGCGTTAATAAAAAATTAGCACTTCTTAATATGAAGATTCATTGAGAAATAAAATAAAATTTTCATTTTGTATCCCCCGGTAATAGCCCAGTAGGTATGGACCCACCATGTGAGCCTATCGTCGACGGTAATAGCGACGGAGCCGTTTGAGTACCACTACGGTGGTTGAAATGTAATAGTTCTGTTAGAGTTGTCTATATGATTGCTTAAAATTTGCTGCTCATCATTACTAACCATATTTATGTTACTGCCAAGTTTAGGAAAATCTTCAATGCAAAATGTATCTTCACTGTCTTTTAATAAATGCATTGCATTTAACCTGCCAGATTTGCTGTGTAACGTTTTTGTTTTTTTTGGTAAGTGAGGTGGCTTGTGGTGTCCAAGTCAACTTGTCGCATTAATTACTCTCTTATTAAATATTTTACAAGTTTAATAAATTAATCATAAATATAATAAATAATTTTAAAGTAATTTGAATCTAAAAAATAGATAAAGTGAACAAATTTTCTTGATTATCAGATTAAACCTTTGAGGTTTACTATAACGTTTATTCAACAATCTCTGTGAGTATTTGAATTTAAAATAATTCTCAACAATCTCTAACATAATTGATGTTTAAATCTTATATGTTAATAATTGTGTATTATTAGTACCAACCCAACCCAACAAAGTTCTTTGATTATCATGTGCTTCTAGTCAATAATAGGCCATCAAAATCTGATTTCATTAGAATGTTGTCTCAATGTGTATGCGTTTTTTTATGGAAGAGAAACACAAATATTATACATCACTGATTGTTTAGCAATGGCGAATAAGATGCGTTGTCTCCTCAGTACAATTGCACAATTTATATTAGTTATTTAATTTTGCCGTAAACCTTTCTGGGTCCATTATAATAAATTAACATAAGATTAGCATGACAAATTTATTTATTTATATGAAAAGCAAAAGTTTGGTAAAAAACCAACCATAAATTAAGGTGTAGAGTATCATGATTAGAGGACAAAAATTAAGGATTTCAGTTATTGGCTAAGAACTTTGTGTTTGTTGTTCAACATTATTTTATAGAATTAGTGTTATTGTCACACAATTCAAACTTGAACCCATCCTTGGCATTTTAAGCATGATTTAACCACCCATATATATAAAAATTTATAATATGTATTATTTGTTTAATAACAAATGGATTAATATGCTCGACTGGGATTATAAAATACGGGTTAATCAACAACCACTAGATGATCTAATGGTAAAATAATAAAAAAAATGTTTTATGAATTCATGAGTTTTAGTCCTCACAAACTCTAGTACGGTGATCACTAAAAAGTTTATCTGGCCGTCAATTTAAGAATCTTAAATGATTAATTAAGGTACGCACAAACTAATTCTTTTAGTGAGTTTATGATCCAAATTTTGAAGTAGAAGGTTATATAGATATGATAAATGAGGTGACGTTCCGTTTAAAAATTTGGAATTATAAAAACATAATTTATGTGGACTTGGAATTTGGAAAGCTCAAGTATGAAGTAGGACTCTTCTTTTGAGATGGAAAATTAGTGGTGGTATATTAGTACACAATTAATTAATAAAATTAACCCTCCATAGCGGTAAGTACATCATCTTTCTTCTTTGAAACTACTGAATCCACCTTGTTAGGGATGGGTTCCACGAAGCCCAATCTTCTCCCATTCTAGTTTAACTTTCCTTGGTAATTTCAATGGTCAAGCAAAGAATTGAAGATTTAGAAACATACAAGAAATACGATCGGACTTCGGAGTTTTCTCTAATGTCTAATAAATGACAAAACCTTTTAATATGTAGTCAGATTTTTCAAAACTAGCGGCTCCACGTGGCTCTCGAATTGACAATATTATGTAAGAAATTAGTGAAATACATTTTACGTAGCCTCAAAATGAATGTAATCGTCTAGCGTTTTCTTTTCATTGTATTTTTTCCGAGAGTCAAACCGAGAGTTCAGGATTTAAATAGAATCATCTGAAACAGTTTGATTAGATTTGTCAATAAAGTATATCTAGATTATAATACATAATGACTGACGAAATATGTATAAAAAATTTCAAAGGGTCGGCCATTATGTTTACTCCAAATCCGTGAAATAGATAAGTGGGACAACTAAATAGGCAGAATTATATGGATGAGACATTGTTGGTTCCGATTCATAAGAAAACTTATAAGGATGTGCTTGCATGGATAACAAGTTGACATGACTTTGATTTGATTTAATTCAATTCATCCTTGCACAATAATTGAATCAAACTCAGGAAGGATTATAGTTTACCCTCACATCAACTGGAGAAGTAACTTCTATGGTGATTGTGATTCTTGTTCAGTAATCGGTATGAGTGACATTTTTATGTAATGAAGATTTTTGGTCAAAGAGTTGTTTTAAAGAGAAGGGAGATTCGGATGATGAACTTTCTAAGATTCTTAGCTTCATCATCTAAATATTATGGAAATCATTTTGATGTTGTTTTCGATTAATGGATTGGACAATTAATTAACTTGTAACATAAAGTCGAAACAACCCAACAAAAGATGGTGATATATGTCAGTTTTGATAAACCAGTACTCAAAGAAACGTGTTGCAGTGGGGCTGTAAAACGAGCAAGAATCTTGTCAATTTACCTGCAAGATCGATCAATAAACAAAAGAACATGTATAGTATTGAGTTACGTAGCTAGGTTGAGTCGCTTTCGTAATGAATCAGTGTCTTGCCATACAGTATCAGTGGTAATCTTCCAAAATCCATCTTACACTGTATTCCATCAGAGAACATGTTATTGGAATAGTGAAGGAATTCAGGCAATATATAGGCAACATTTAGATATGAGATATCATTTTGTTTTCTAATTTGGTTGTAGATATAGAATTACAAGTTAATGGATCCTTGGCCAAGACTTCTCCCAGGGATGATTTCCTACAGATGACCTAGCAGAGCAGGTGCTGGCCCTCAGCTTTTAGGCTTAGGAACTGTCACGGCCACTTGCTCTTTTCCAAGTAGATATTGTAATGTGAAATGGATTTTAATTCCTCTTACTTACACTGAATTTTTTGTTTTATATGAAACCTATTTCCTATTTCTTATGTTTATCCACCTTTTTATGATTTGAAGACTAACACGAAGGGACATTTTCTTTTTGAAGAACGAAGATAGTGACAATCGCACATTATATAAAATTACTGTTTGTTTTTTCTCAAAAGCCATTATTTATTCACACCCTTAAATATGAATATCACATTGATGCAACGCATGTACATATTTATATCTTGTCCAATACTTTGAAAAATAAGAAATCTTTTTAAATGTTTTGTCCTTCAATACTCGTACAAAATATATTACTTGAACGACATACATCCAGGGCAGAAGGAGGATAGCGTGTCTCTCTCACAAAAGGCCCACATTGTTTAGGCCCATCAACCACGACATTACCAGATTGCCTTCTCCATGTGAGTTTTTCCAATCCTACTTAACTCAACTCAACTCAATACACACTGTTTCCCATTCGAAATTTCTAGAGGTCAGGATTATTCTAAAAGGGAAACAAGTTAATCTTCTTAATGGTTTGTTTAGATGCAACATGGTGCTGAAATGTCAAAAGCTTCCGTTAAGTCAGTTGAAACGTGGCAAAAACTCCTCAACATCCATGTGACATGGTTTATAATTATCCTTAGCCTTTTCGCATCAACATCAAACATTCTAGCGGATATGGAACAAACATTTGTTCATAAAATAATATTCCACATTTAAGCGTTATTTAGAAAGAGAATAAATTTCATAATAATTCATAGAAGGTAATACTTATTTAAAAGGCACTTACGATTATGATTCATGCCATTTTATTCATTTAATTAACATAAAAAATATAAAACTACTATATTATGGATTGTGTAATAAAAGTTTGGATCAAGTGAGAAAATGTTATAATTTTAATTAATTAAAATTCATTGCCTAAAATTACTATTTAGTCCTTCACTTTTATATATATTATTTTATATAAAATTCAACTGCTGAGTAGTTATCTCCAACAATTGCACTCAAAATCAACATGTATATATTCATAAACATGTTTATATATTTATGGAGATTTGCAGAAACGAAATAATTTAATCACTAACCTCCAGCCATAGTAATTTATTGTTGTTGTATTCTTCAAAGGTTACAAACTCTTCTAATACACTGCAATTCTTAAAACGATGGTTTTGGGATATCATAATTAATTGCGTGTATTGGAGACTTGTAACTGTTCTTCTTTTAAAATGCGCAGAAGTCTTTCTATCAAAGACAACTGCTGGATTAACTGTTAAGAAACTACTCAATAGTTGAATTTTATATAAAATTAATATATACTCCCTCCGTTTCTATATAAGTGTCGTTTTAAGTTTTTACAGAGTTTTTAATGAATTTGCAGAGAATTGACTTTTTCCTCATATTGCAGGCAGGTGGGAAAATTTTGTTTTTCCCTTTGCAACACGTCCGTGAAATATTAAAATAAAGAGAGATAAATTGTGAGACAGAGGAGATGAGGGAAAGAGATAGACAAAAAGAGAGAGAAGAGTGTGGGGCAGGGTAGAGAAAAAGTTGGAGAGAGGAGATGAGGGGAAGGGTGAAGAATGAAAATGTGGGTCATTGAAAGAAGAGAACTTCACTTATTTTGAAATAAATTATTACCCTGATTATTAAAAAAAGAACG